GGGCCACCAAGAGCCACCAGAGATGTATGTGACATGGGTGAGGGTCACCAAGAGCCATCATGGTCTCTAGACACATCTGAGGGCCACCAAGAGCCACCGGGGACCTATGTGACATGGGTGAGGGCCACCAAGAGCCATCATGGTCTCCAGACACGTGTGAGGGCCACCAAGAGCCATCATGGTCTCCAGACACGTGTGAGGGCCACCAAGAGCCATCATGGTCTCCAGACACGTGTGAGGGCCACCAAGAGCCATCATGGTCTCCAGACACGTGTGAGGGCCACCAAGAGCCATCATGGTCTCCAGACACGTGTGAGGGCCACCAAGAGCCATCATGGTCTCCAGACACGTGTGAGGGCCACCAAGAGCCATCATGGTCTCCAGACACGTGTGAGGGCCACCAAGAGCCATCATGGTCTCCAGACACGTGTGAGGGCCACCAAGAGCCATCATGGTCTCCAGACACGTGTGAGGGCCACCAAGAGCCATCATGGTCTCCAGACACGTGTGAGGGCCACCAAGAGCCATCATGGTCTCCAGACACGTGTGAGGGCCACCAAGAGCCATCATGGTCTCCAGACACGTGTGAGGGCCACCAAGAGCCATCATGGTCTCCAGACACGTGTGAGGGCCACCAAGAGCCATCATGGTCTCCAGACACGTGTGAGGGCCACCAAGAGCCATCATGGTCTCCAGACACGTGTGAGGGCCACCAAGAGCCATCATGGTCTCCAGACACGTGTGAGGGCCACCAAGAGCCATCATGGTCTCCAGACACGTGTGAGGGCCACCAAGAGCCATCATGGTCTCCAGACACGTGTGAGGGCCACCAAGAGCCATCATGGTCTCCAGACACGTGTGAGGGCCACCAAGAGCCATCATGGTCTCCAGACACGTGTGAGGGCCACCAAGAGCCATCATGGTCTCCAGACACGTGTGAGGGCCACCAAGAGCCATCATGGTCTCCAGACACGTGTGAGGGCCACCAAGAGCCATCATGGTCTCCAGACACGTGTGAGGGCCACCAAGAGCCATCATGGTCTCCAGACACGTGTGAGGGCCACCAAGAGCCATCATGGTCTCCAGACACGTGTGAGGGCCACCAAGAGCCATCATGGTCTCCAGACACGTGTGAGGGCCACCAAGAGCCATCATGGTCTCCAGACACGTGTGAGGGCCACCAAGAGCCATCATGGTCTCCAGACACGTGTGAGGGCCACCAAGAGCCATCATGGTCTCCAGACACGTGTGAGGGCCACCAAGAGCCATCATGGTCTCCAGACACGTGTGAGGGCCACCAAGAGCCATCATGGTCTCCAGACACGTGTGAGGGCCACCAAGAGCCATCATGGTCTCCAGACACGTGTGAGGGCCACCAAGAGCCATCATGGTCTCCAGACACGTGTGAGGGCCACCAAGAGCCATCATGGTCTCCAGACACGTGTGAGGGCCACCAAGAGCCATCATGGTCTCCAGACACGTGTGAGGGCCACCAAGAGCCATCATGGTCTCCAGACACGTGTGAGGGCCACCAAGAGCCATCATGGTCTCCAGACACGTGTGAGGGCCACCAAGAGCCATCATGGTCTCCAGACACGTGTGAGGGCCACCAAGAGCCATCATGGTCTCCAGACACGTGTGAGGGCCACCAAGAGCCATCATGGTCTCCAGACACGTGTGAGGGCCACCAAGAGCCATCATGGTCTCCAGACACGTGTGAGGGCCACCAAGAGCCATCATGGTCTCCAGACACGTGTGAGGGCCACCAAGAGCCATCATGGTCTCCAGACACGTGTGAGGGCCACCAAGAGCCATCATGGTCTCCAGACACGTGTGAGGGCCACCAAGAGCCATCATGGTCTCCAGACACGTGTGAGGGCCACCAAGAGCCATCATGGTCTCCAGACACGTGTGAGGGCCACCAAGAGCCATCATGGTCTCCAGACACGTGTGAGGGCCACCAAGAGCCACCAGGGCCTCCAGGAGCCATTGGGGGCACTCGGGACACACGTGAGGCCACCAGGGGCCACCCACTTGATGTCCTTCTCGATCTGCTGCTGCTCGCGCAGCATCTTGCCCAGCTCCTTCTTGCGCTCGCGCAGCTCGTCCTCCACGCGGTCCATGCGCCGCTTGTCCTTGTCGATCTCGCGGTTCTTGAGCGCCAGCTCCTTGTGCAGCCTCCCGATCTCGGCCTCGTTGTGGAACAGCTTGAAGAGCTGCAGCTGCACCTGGGCCCGCACCACCTCGTCCTTCAGCCGCTGGTAGCGGTCCGCCTGTAGCGAGGACACCGCGCCGTGGGCACCGGGGCGGAGGGTAGCGGCCCGCCTGTAGCGAGGACACCGCGCCGTGGTCACCGGGACACGCGCGGTGTCCCCGCGGTGCCGCCCGCGCGGCCTCGCCGGCCTCACCTCCTCCTTCTCCTGCTTGGCCTCCTTGCGCTCGGCGGCGATGTTCTTCTTGCGGTGGTAGTTGAACTGCGTGTCCTCCTCGGCCTTCACCATGTCCTTCTTGCGGCGCTCGTACTCGGGCGCCAGCTCCCCGGAGCGGCTGATCTCCTCGAAGAGGGCGGTGCGCTCCTTGGGGTTCTTCATGGCG